CGAGCGACTTGGCTGCTGCATAAATTAGTTTGCTCTGGAGCTGCCCTTCCTGAGCCAAGGCAAAAATCTGTGAGCTCGAGGATAATGAACTGTGAGCTAGCTCACACTAACTCAGCTTAGAGGGAACACTGCTGGTGACTCCTACTGGGGCATGGAGAAATTCAAAGAAGTGTCTTGATAGCCTGCCTCTGCCTCCCGCCTCTGGTATTCCAAAGAGGTCTCCCCTCCAAATACTTGCCAGGGTCGGCCCTGGTTAGCTTCCGAGACTGGACTGTCCAAGTCAGGGGACGCTCAAGGGTTTTGATCGTTTGAAGCTGGCTTCTCTGAGGAAGCTTGTGACCACTGCTAGCATGCCTCCTCCTCCTAGCCCAGCAGATGGGGGACGTATGAACTCTTAAGCCCTGAGAAAAGCAGTGGGACAATTAGGCATCATTTTTATAGGCCCATGGCTGCTCCCCCCCCCCCCATATGTTAAAAAGATCTGGGATGGAGGCGCGTGCTGGAAACTATGTCCGTCCCATCCTTTGTCGCTCTTGGACGCTTGAAGAGTCGCTTTAAAAATAACGTCGTTTAAAGAGTAGGGCTTTCATGGAACAGTTTGATTTTTAGCGGCACTCTTTTAGGAGCGAAAATTTATTATCTTGCCGTATGGCTCTGAAAGTAGGACAACATGCTCCCGGAATGATGCTGATGTGAACTGTTCCTGCCTCCCACCCCCCCCCAGCGACTTCTAAAAAGCTGATGCTGGCGGTTGGGGGGGAGGACCAGAGTAGAGAAAAAAGCCACCGTGTGTGAAGCTGCCGTGGGGAGGGGGAGCCCGGTCAAATCCTGCACTGGTATCAAAGGATGGAGAGTAAGCTGTCCCCGGGGGCTTCGAGCCCTAACCGCCAAACCGGGGCTGAGACTCTAGCTGTGGAAGCCAGCCAAAGCAAAACAAGCAACCAAAAGGGGCTGAAGTGTGCGCCCCCTTCTACTGTCTAGACAGCCAGAGGCCAAATCTCAGGCCTTCATGGAACGACAGTCAAGGAAAGAAATTTAGAGTCCAGTGGCACCTTTAAGACCAACAAAGGTTTATTCAGGGTACGAGCTTTCGTGTGCAAGGCACGCTTTACCTTGAATAAGCCTTGGTTGGTCTCAAAGGTGCCACCGGTCTCTAAATGTGTTGTAGCGCTTCAGACCAACATGGCTGACCAACTGGATCTAAAGTCAAGAAAGTCACTCTTGCAGGGCAGGACACCTTCAAAGCACGTTTCGCAAACAATGACTCTGGTAGCTGAGGGCCAGAGTACTGGATTCAGATGGAAGCTGCCTGAATTCAGGAACTCTCCTGAATTCAAGAACTCAGCAAAGTCTAGTTAAAAGTGATTTATTTAAAATTGTGCAGAAATAAAGCAGAGTAGTGAACAGTGAAGACAAAAATAGCCAAAGGCTGAAAGTCTGTGTGAGCACTTTTACAAATCCCGTAGACTTTCAAGGTTTCAGATGTTACCCAACAGCAGACTGTGAGGTCTTGAGGCTTCTGAACTTCAGGGTCCAAGACTAGGTTTCCAGTCTGTAAGACCCACCAAAAGAGGCAGCACCCAGGCTAATCCAAGCACAGGGTCAGTCGCCATAAATGCCTAAGGGCACTAGTCAGCAAACAGTGGCATTTATCACCATGCATGATGGCTGGCAGCAATAGCGTTAACACACCCTCCTGGCTAGTGGCCGTCACATGGCCCGCTTGCAGCAATGTTGTAGAGCAAAGAACTAGAATGAAAACTTTTACTTTATGTCCCGGTGCAATGTTCCCTCTAAGCTGTGGGGTCTTGTGAGCAACAATTCTACTTTGTGAGCTACTGGCATTAACGTTGTGAGCGAGCGATTGGGCTGCTGCATAAATTAGTTTCCTCTGGAGACATCCTCCTTGAGCTAAGACAAAAATGTGTGAGCTGGAGCCTAAAAAACTGTGAGCTAGCTCACACTAACTCAGCTTAGAGGGAACACTGGTCCCAGGCCCTGCGTTGGCCTGATCCTAATCAGCCCATGAGGTGTAGGGGAAATGATGTAACCTAGCCACCAGACCCATTGCTAAGGCGATGATCTGACCAATCAGAGGGGCTTGTCAGTTAACCAGGCACTCTGCAGGCACGCTGGATTCAAATGAACAACTGCTCCTGTCCCACCCCTGATCTCGGGCATGAACAGGATGAAAAGCACCCCTCCCCTCTTCTGTCCTCGGAGTTACCAGGCCTAATGGAAGGACCTGCACCTGGGCGACCTCCCATCTCATCCGTGTCCCGGAAGCGTCCAACAGCTCGCTTCGTCTCAGAGGGAGGGAAAATCTTCCTTTTGCAAGGCCTCTTTGCTAGGCCCAAACGCCTGAACCAGAGTTGAGAACTTGAACAGGAAACCGCGTAGGAAAGCCAGTTTCTTGATGGAAGCTGGCGATTTTGCCCGGTCCCCTCATCTCAGTGCAGCCCATCCGGCAGCGCAAGCTCTTGTCCACTTGAGTCCGGGGACCTCTGGAGCATTCTGGAGATGGCGGGCGGGCAGGGAGGTCGGCGTGTCCCCAAACGCTGTTGCGTTTCTGCTCCGACTCCGGCCCTGTGGATTCTCCGCTTCAAAAATAGGTTCACACTTGTGGCTGCTACATAGCTAGAGTCACTTAATGTAGGAGTAAACAAGCGGCATATGTTCTCCTCTTCTCCACCGCAGAAGGAGAATCGTGTGCCCTGTAGATGCTATAAGGTCACATTAAAATAAGCTGTATTGTATGTCTCTGTTTCTGACGAGTTGTGAGGCGTCCGCTTAGGGGTCATGAATACCTTCCAGTGAAATGTGCTTCGGTGTGTGTCGCTCACATGCGTGGACTTCCTGACATTTGGGAGAGGGGAAAACGGTGACGTGTGTGTTGAGCATGTTGCCCTGTTCTGACCTCTCTTCACTGGCATGCTCTGAAACGCTGTGTGAGCCCACATTCTTCCGCCTACCTGAATATCACAGAAATGGGCTTATGTTATTGGCTCTGCCCAGAGGTTTCTCAGAGAGCAAGCTGTGAACTTTCCGGCAAGCACAGCACTAGGCAAAACTCCAAGCGCGCGTTAGCGCTGCCCGGCCGATCGTTTCAACAGAAGGTTTTTTTAAAAAAATTGTGACTGGGTTGATAAAAAGACTGCTGTGGTGCTTCATCACATCACTGAACAGTGCAGTCCTGTGCAGAGTTACTCCAGTCGGAGTCCATCGGAATCAACAGGCCTAGACTGGAGTAACTCCGCATAGCATTGCGTGGTTCTCGTTTGGGAACTCCTTCCTATAATAACCAGATTTTTACAGCTTGGTTGATATTTGGGGGTAAAAAAGTCTCTTTGGGGTTTCAGCTTTTAATCTCTGAATTTTGGCAGTCAGCCTAGGTTTGGGGACCGAGGTTCGGTTCAAACTAAGCCCCGTCCTTTCCAGACTTACATGGATAACTCAAGACCCTTTACCAATGCTCCCTCTAAGCTGTGGAGTCTTGCGAGCAAAAATTCTACTTTGTGAGCTGCTGGCATTAAAGTGGCGAGCGAGTGATTTGGCTGCTGCGTAAATTAGCTTGCTCTGGAGCTCTTCTTCCTGAGCCGAGACAAAAATGTGTGAGCCGGAGGCTAAGAAAAATGTGAGCTAGCTCACACTCAGCTTAGAGGGAACGCTGCCCCTTACACACGGGCTTTCCAACCCTATTGGCTTTTTAAGGCAAGCAGATTTTTTTCCCCAGTTTCACATACTTTAAATGTGCTTTGGCTTCTCAAGGCAAATTAAATTGGCTCCTTAAGGCAAATTTTAGGCTGATCCTGCACTGAGCAGGGGATTGGACTAGTAGATGGCCTGTATGGCCCCTTCCAACACTCTGATTCTGTTATGTCTGTGTGTTTCACAACCTTAAGGATAAAATGCTGTCTTCTTCTGGTCAGTGAAGCTTCAGTCTTGGTTTTCCAAAATCTGTCTTGCTCCACAGTTTGTTGCGTTCTGTCTTTTGGGAGTGTGATTTTTTTTTTAAGGTTCATTTGCCTTCAGAAGCCATGGTGAGTTTGAGGAGCCCGAAAGGGACCGAAGAATAATTATTTTGAAATAAAGACCTGAGCTATCCAAAGAGTAGCTATGTTCATTATAAATCTTCGGGGCTCATGGCCAGGGAGGGCAAGACTGTGATGTTCCAGAGGACTGTGGGATGCTTAAGGGGCAACTGCATGCTATTCATAGAACCTTTAACTATAAATGCCATTGGAAGACCTCATGAAGCATTGTATCTTAAAGCACAAATAGCTGATAAGTAGCCCCCGCAATGCAGTCTTTTTGTGTCTTAATTATCGTAGCAGGGTGGGAAGGGTAAGTGAAGGTATAAAGTCTCAAAAGATGGGGGAAGAGTTGGTGACTGGGATCCAACAGAGTACTTCCCTGGACAGGATTTCTCTTAAATTAGTTTCTTGCCTTGGTAGTCTCAGTGCAGCCCCCGGTGCTATTCCTAGGGAATGGGACCCCCAAAAGCGGCATTTTGCACTGTAGTAGTACAAGGTTTAGGGTGGCCCAGGTTAGCCTGCTTTCATGAGCCCTCAGAAAGTTAAGTAGGGTTGGCCATGGTTAGTAACTGGATGGGAGACCAACACCGAGGCAGTCCCAGGTTGCTAGGCAGAGGCAGGCAACGGCAAAGCACCGAGAACCACAGAACCACGGAGTTGGAAGGGGCCATACGGGCCGTCGAGTCCAACCCCCGGCTCAGTGCAGGATCAGCCTAGAGCATCCCTGACAAGTGTTTGTCCAGCCGCTACTTGAAGGCTGCCAGTGAGGGGGAGCTCACCACCTCCCCAGGGCAGCTGGTTCCCTTGTTCGTCTCTTGCCCTGAAACCCCTGTGGGGTTGCCAGAAGTCAGCTGTGACTTGATGGCACGTACCACCACCAGCAGAAGAAGAGGGTTGAGAAAGTTTCACTTTGCAGAGGAACATCTGACCAAGGACACACTCTGTTGGATCCGGGCCCTTTCTGGTATGAACACACGGATCGAAGTCTTAAGCAGCCACGTCAACTGTGTTGTGTTACACCTGCAGCAACAGCAGCAGCACCACACTCCGCCAGCCCCAGGCAGGTCCAGCAACAGCAGCAAGCAGCAGCAACAGCCGCAGCCGCCGCAGCCGCATCACACTTCAGTGAGTTGGTTAGAGTCAGAAGTAGAGTGTGCCTCAATTTTCCTGCAGGTGGTCATCTATTGCATCTGTCCTCTCGTCAATCCCTTTGTTCGCATTTGACAGGCGAGGGACTTAATTCCGTGCAGGGGACCTAGGTCATTGAAGTTACAGTCTTAAATCCACCCAGTCTCTTGAATCTTCAGCAGCTGGAATAGAGCTGGAATTGGTCATGAACCAGATTTCGAAACCCAAATTTTGGAAATTCCACTGCAGAGTAAAACATTGGGTGCGGTCAGACGGTGTGCTGAGAGCAGGTTAAACTACTCCAGTTCTGACTGGATTATATTTGATCTGGATAATCGTGATCACACTTACCTCCCTTATCCCGCCTCACCGCGCAGTCACGTCGCTCCCCAGCGTCTACACTAACGACGTGCGGGAGCGTGTATCGGTGGGTTTTTTTTAATTTCAGCTTGCGCTTGGGGGGGGAACTACCATGGCGCATGCACAGAACCACCAGGGCGAATCACTCTAACCCTTCCAACAAAAGACTTCCCTTTAAACGTTTGTTCCGAAAATGGGCTCCGTGAGATCCCGAACTCATCTGAACTCTAAAACAAGTGACCGTTTAAATGTCGGTTTTCTAAATGCGGTGGCGGAGCTCCGCCTATGCGCGCACCGCTGACGCTAAAAAAAAAAAGGTGGTTGGAAAGCAGAATCTTCGGGCAGCTTTCGAGCGGGGAGGGGGTTTAAACCGGAAGTGGCTTGACAGTGGAGGAGCGATCACACAGGGGGAGGATGCGGTTTTAAACGGGAGAGCTGAGAAAACACCACTTTGGGATCTGGTAACAAAAATACTCAGGGTTAAAGGGATCTTGAGCCGGAAACCAACGGCTGTGGACAGGAGGCAGATGTTGACTGTGTGATCGTGCAGATAAATTCCGTTGCTGAACTGTCACGACACCAGATCAAACGGCGTGTCTGAACGCACCCATTGAATGTGAACTTCATTTATTTTTTTCCTCTAACCCTAACCCCGCCATTTAATCTTCCCAACAACTCCGTGAGGTAGGTTGAGAGAGCGGGACCGGCCCAAGGTCACCCAGCGAGCTTCTGGGGCAGAGTGGGGGATTCAGATCGGGGTCTGCCCCTATCCCAGTCCGACGCTCTAACGACTGCACCATGCCGGCTCTCCCCAAATTAAGGCACTAAACGCATGTTTTTTTCGCGTAGAGCCATGCCTTTGAAAAGCTGACCCAGTTCCAAGCAGATATGTTAATCATTGCAAAGGACATGATCTCTTGGTTAACTTGTGATTGGGTTAAATTCTGAGACTTGGTTCTGCTAGGGGCTAGCAGTGAAGTATTGTTTGGTGCAGTGGTTAAGTGCGCGGACTCTAATCTAGGAGAACCAGGTTTGATTCCCCAGTCCTCCACTTGCAGCTGCCGGATGACCCTTGGGCAAGCCATAGTTCTGTCAGAGCTGTCCTTGAAAGAGCAGTTCTTGAAAGAGCTCTCTCAGCCCTACCTACCTCACAGGGTGTCTGTTGTGGGGAGGGGAAGGGAAAGGAGTTTGTAAGCTGCTCCGAGTGAAAGGCGGGGTATAAATCCATTCTTCTTGTTCCAACATTGCGAGGAACCTTGCTCCCCCACTGGCTGTGAGAGTCCGTGGCAGTAGCGGGTAACGCTTTGGCCTAGGAGGCCCAGGTTCAAATACCTGCTTCCACCACGATTCTCACGGCAGGACCTTGTTCTCTCGGCCTCACCTGTTTCTGTGGGAGATGGTGAGGCGCCAAGGAGGGAAAGAAGAACCGCGCACGTCATCCTGAGCTGATTGAAGGAACGGTGGGATAAAAAGGTACGAGGCAAGTTTTGCCAGGGTAAGCGCTCTCCCCCCCCCCCCCCCGGGCTAGGGAAAGGGATTCGTAGCATCCGGCAGTTTTTGTTCTTGTTTTATAACTCCTTTCTTCAAAACCATGGCATGTAGCAAGGCATCAGACAAACAGATGTACGTGATTCATTGGAACAAATGCATTTTGCGGGATATAGCCTTTTGTTTAAACAATTTTAGACTATTTTAATGTACTGTTCTGGAAAAAATATGGTTGAAAAATAGAATGCAGCCCCCCCCCCAAAAAAAACAGGATGTGAGTAAACACAATTTCACCATAATCTCTCGCAGACATTTCAAGTAGCAAAAGGATTTATTAGCATTTCTATATTGTATGAAGCAGGTGGGATAAGAGTGGGAATTCATGGATTTACAATGGAATTGAAACTTGTTGACTAAATATATGCACTGCTTGGTTGAACTGGGAACAAAATAAAAGGTGATGGTTCGATAAAATGTGCTGTAATCGGAACCACTGGTTTCCAGCGTAGTTGTGAAATGCAGCGGTATCTGAGCGCTGTAATAGCTTTAACCTGGTCTGATCCTGGCTGTAATCCTAAATCCCGCAATCCCCTCTGCCGCAGGTCATTATCTCTGATGTCTTATCGACATTTTAAAGGCCCCATTCAAGAAGTATTAATCTTCTGTTGAATTCCTTTAGTATTGAAGGTCACTTATGAGAGATCTTTGATAGAAAGCATAAGAGCAGTGCATTTTTGAATGGCATATAAAAGTTCAGTGCTAAGATCTCCTTTCAGACTTGCAGCACATCTTGAATGGAAAAGCATCTGGTTTTCCCCCAGCATCATTTATTTATTTATTATTATTTGTATTTACAGCCCACCCATCCCGCAAGCGGGCTCAGAGTGAGTAACATCATGAAACATACAATAAATACATTTAAGATTAAACAATTTAAACAATTTGAAAATAATACTCATTAAAACACAGTCACACTTCTAACAAATCAGCTGGCTGTGGGGGTTCCCTGGCATATTATTTGGGTTGATAGTTGGGTGGATAAAAACCATCTCAGGGAGGCCACATAGAGACGTCCGCTGCCTCAAACGAAGGCCTGGCGGAACAGCTCCGTTTTACAGGCCCTGCAGAACTGAAGAAGATCCCGCAGGGCCCTGATCTCGACTGGGAGCATGTTCCACCAGGCAGGGGCCAGGGCAGAAAAGGCCCTGGCTGAGGCAAGACGGATGTCCTTTTGGCTGGGGGCAACCAGGAGATGTTGGTCCATAGAGCGTAACGCTCTTTGGGGCATATGTGGGAAGAGGCGGTCCCTCGGATATGTGGGCCCCAGGCCGTATAAGGCTTTTAAAGATGATTCCCAGCACCTGCCGGATGTGAGCTCGCATAGACATCGATGTCAGCAGACGCACCACCACATTTTGCACCAGCTGTAGTTTCCAGGTCAGCCTCAAGGGTAAGCCTACAAAGAGCGAGTTGCAGTAATCAAGCCTGGAGTGACCGTTGACTTTGTTCCCACGATTGCCCAAACGGGAAGGCGTGGCCTCCACGTGTCCCCTCCCTTCCTGTTTAGCGGAACATCCCATCATTGGGACATCCATATTGGTAGTGCTTTGCTTTCAGACCAGAATCGGGGGTGGGGGGAAACCTGGTTGGAGATAAGTTTCTGATTCTGGGTTTCGAAGGCCAACCGTATGCTTCTGATATAACAAACTGTGGTCAACGTTGACCTGGAAATGGAGAAGAGGAACCTTTGGTAAAGGCGCATAGTGCTCGCTTCGACAGCACATATACTAAAATTGGAAAAGGCGCATACAGTTTAAGTCTGTAAAAACGATGGGTTGGAAGACTGTCTGAGTCGAGTGTTTCCAAAGGGAAAGCCTAATCAGGGAGATGGGGAAAGGGAATACGAAGTGAGCTGGCCCAAATAATAGCGGGGAAAATAAGCAGTGGGAAGAGGAGGTGGCTGATGGCTGGCCTGGGGGGCGTGCACCTCTCAAAAGCACAGCAGAATTGGATTGGGGTGCGGGGCTCGTCTGTGGTTCCCAAACCAAGCGAAACAAGTTGAATGCTAGATTTACGTACCTGCACACCATGGGAAATCAGAAGGGTATGGTGACGTTTTGGTCTTGCCCACTTGTTAAGAATTTGACAGAAAAATAGTTTTGTGTTGCGAAAAGGAAGAGAAATAGTGTCTTCATTAGCCTTAGGCTTGTAGTTGTCTGCACTTTTATGCTTTTCCTTCTTTATGGCAGATAATGTAAACTAGAGAGTTCATAGAAAAGGCTGTGCTTTTCCGTATCTCGGATTCGAACTCATAGGCTAAAACAGCATTTACACATTTTCCAAATTTATTTCCTACTTGCTGTTCAAGATAGGCCATCAGAGTATGGAATGTAAAAATACACTTAAAACAATCAAAGCACCATCAGCCATAAAGTATCAATGTAAAACATGCCTAAGCATTTTGGTGCTTGTAGGATCCCATGAAGTCTTTTACACTTGTGCCTGCATCATCACCCCCACAGTCAGGAAAGGGTTTAGAGCTATAGCAGCCCTAGCAGATAAGAGCTGGTAACTCAGGTGTAACTCAAGCACTGTAAGAACAAAGGATGAGCCAAAACCTTCCTGGAGTATAAAATTATTTTGGTTCATTCTCTAGGTGAATCTTCTGTCTTTGCAGTGCAGGGGAGGGGTTGTGGCTCAGTGGTAGAGTGTCTGCTTGGCATGCAGAAGGTCCCAGGTTCAATCCCCGGCATCTCCAGTTAAAAGGACTGGGCAGTATATGACATGAAAGACCTCAGCCTGAGACCCTGGAGAGCAGCTGCCAGTCTGAGTGGACAATACTGACCTCAATGGACCCTGAGGGTCTAATTCAGGATAAGGCAGCTCCATGTGTACAATCCCAAACAGAGTTCAGCCCTTCTAAGTCCGTTGAAGTCGATAAGCTTAGAAAGGGGTGATCCTGTTTAGGATTGTCACTGTGTGATGATCATGCAGGACAATTATCTTCAGAAAGCACAACTCGATATGTGTGTTTTGGAAAGGGCTCATGCTCTGAATAGGACAGGCTTGGCTCTTGGCTCTCCCTAAGATGCATGGCCATAAGGACAGATAACTTTATTTCCTTTTTGGCACAAGAAGAGCAGAAGAAGAGATTGGATTTATACCCCGCCCTTCACTACCCAACGGAGTCTCAGAGCGGCTTACAACCTCATTTCCCTTCCCCTCCCCACAACAGACACCCTGTGAGGTAGAAGAAGAGATTGGATTTATCCCCCGCCCTTCACTACCCGAAGGAGTCTCAGAGCAGCTTACAAACTCCTTTCCCTCCCCCTCCCCACAACAGACACCCGGTGAGGTGGGTGGGGCTGAGAGAGCTCTTGACAGAAACTGCTCTTTTTCAAGGACAGCTCTTATCAAAACTACGGCTTGCCCAAGGTCATCCAGCCAGGTGCAAGTGGAGGAGTGGGGAATCAAACCTGGTTCTCCCAGATTAGAGTCCGCGCACACAACCACTACACCAAACTGCATTTGCATTCCGCATTTCTGCCCTTACAAAAGCTAACCAGGGCAGCCGGCGATTTAAAACATACACGATCAAGCCACATTTTAAAACCATTAAAACCAACCATTTCCCAAACACACATCATTAGAACAATTTTTTAAAAGAGTTAAAATACATCCAAATAATGGCTGGGAAAGTGGGATCGTCGGAACGCTAAACGAGACCAAACAAAGGCTTCACCTGGTGGTGGAAGATGGCGACGGAATTTTTGCCGTCTTCATCACCTTCAGCTGTCTGAAGAAGAGGTGGGAAAGCACTTGTGGAGGGCAGAACCCTCAGCCTCGTGAGTCCAAGAAGGGCCAGAGGGTTTGCTTGGCAGCCTCAACCGAAATCACCTGCCAAGAGAATTCCCAGTAGAAAAAGAAGCCGTGACCACTGTGCCAACTCAACCAGCAGCTCTAGGAAATCTTTGCCGCAATCCTGGGCAAAGTTGCTCCAGTTTTAGCCCACTGAAATGAGTGGGTGTAGACTGGAATAATTCTCCATAGGTAAAATACAGAATATTGTGGTACTGTTAGTGTGTGTTAAAAGTACTGTGTCGGTTTAATAGCTTTGGAATTGCCAGATGGTTAGATTCGAATCCAGGAGCCACTCAGAAACTAGCCAGATTTTTTTTGGGGGTGGTGGTGGTATGAGCTTTCAAGAATCACTGTTCACTTCATCCTCTGTCTCATCCCCTTTTAAAGCTTTTGGCATCACTTCATCTGTCTCATCCCCTTTTAAAGCTTTTGGAGGGTAGCCGTGTTGGTCCACAGGAGACCCAACTCGATTTGAGTCCAATAGCAGTATCTGACGAAGGGATCTTTGACTCTTGAAAGCTTATTCCCCTAAAATATCGCGGGTCTCCAAGGTGCTACTGGACGTGAACCCAGATATTCTACTGCAGACAAACATGGCTGCCCTCTGAAACTGCCCCGGGGGCGGTTCATGTTGAAGCTGGGGACTGATGTTGTACTGCCATTGCGGTAACTGCCACATGTGCTAAGCTTGCTCGCACCCATCTAAATGGTTGCAGTGCCCGAGTTCAGTGTTGAGCCGCTTGACAGAGCGCAGATGGGAAGGCCTTCCTACTAACTGCATGTGTGGTGCCCCCCAATATCCCAGAAATCCTGGAGACCACCGTTTGTCCCTGCTGTTGAAGAGCGTGGGGAGGCAGGCTCGTGCCTTGAGCAAAATGTTGGCTTATAACAGATTTTTGAGGAGGAGGAGGAGCAGCTCTTTGGGTTTTTCTGATCACTTTGGAAGAAGACGACGACTCCTGACCTGAGCTGTTTTGTGGAAAGCACCTTGGTTATACTGCCGCACTTCCTACCCTAAGTGGTGTCGGGTTTTTTTGTTGTTCAGTCGCA